AAACCGGATAAAAGGCATGTTTGTGATGCTTAATTTAACATAGAGTGAAGCTCAATTTTGGCGATTGTTTGAATTTCACTTTTTGCTCCTGAGTAACAGCCCTATTGCAAATGAAATGCAGCAGCAGAATGCTAAATCACCTAAAAAGGTATATATTGATATAGTTGTGTTGGTATTAAACTCTCTCTACTTGGTATAGTAGTTCAGACCTTTAACATACAAACAGGTCAATTTCTAGAATTTCTGTTTCATTTCATATTTTTCCATTTCCCCTTATTAAATCAGTCAGTTAGCTTTAGGGCAGCTGTGATCGAATGGAAACTGAGTGTAGAGTTATGAAATGTCTGACAGTAGACAGAGTCAGGTCAGTGGTATGAAATGAGAGCAGGCGAGGGGGGAAGGGCGAACTACAGCTGAGCCTCTATAGCAGAATGATCAGATCAGAAGACAGACGTAGGTCACCTCACCTTCACCGGCCCAAAGCCACTGAGCTGCACACATTATGCATCAGACATACTTTACTAATCCTATTAATGATGCAGGAGCTACAAATCAACACATGTGGACCGGCCACAGCTGAGGAAGAGACTAACAGATGGCTGAGGAGAGCAAAGAGGGATAGGGAGTGACAGGAAACAGTCAGAGAGATCTTGCTAGATTAGGCTTCATTTACCTAGTCTTATGAAAGTGACATATTAGGGTTTGATTTGCTTTTAAAGGGTCCCTACATCACACAAGGGCAGAAAGAGTATGAACAGTTGAAACAGATTATTGATATCAGACTCTGTGGCGCAACGGTAGCACGTCTGACTCCAGATCAGAAGGTTGCATGTTCAAATCACGTCAGGGTCAGTGTATTTCTTGAATTTCCCTACGAGGGTCATTAAAGGTCCAATGTATCTTATTACCAAGCTACCACCTAAGCCTTAAGGCCCAGATACACCGGCCCGAAATCGGCAGTAAATGGGAGTCGGGCCGAACATTATCGTGGGCACGCCCTATTCGGAGTGGTGTGCGCCGCACCGTCGGGTCTTTTCTGCCGACCTGACGCCTTTTCTTGCCGATAATCGGCGTCGGGAACACCACCGGAAGTCGGACAAAGGGATAACACTGATTGGCTGTTCAGCTAGCGAATCAGTGCATGAGAAGCGTTAACGGAAGTGAGGGAGGTAAACAAATGATTTAAAATGGAAGATGGAACACACACGGACGGCTATTTCACCTCATCGGTTTATAGAGCTCCTGTTCGTTCATGTTTTCAATGGACGAGAGTGAAAATGGAAAGAAAAACGCTATTTGTTGTTTGTTTATATCACGGAGTCTGTTCTTCTTCTCTGTCTTCCGGTTGTTCCGGTTGTTGCCTCTTTTGAATGATGAATACACACTACCGCCGCCTGCTGGTAAGGAGAGTTATTGCCACTCACGCATACGCAGTTCATACGTGCTCGGCTCGGATTTGCGGTGTGTTCTAGTGCGCGAAGTCGGCAAATACGCAGGAGAGTCCGGCGACGCAACAGTCGGTGTCGGCGACTTCTCAGGTGACTGGCCGGTGTATCTGGGCCTTTAAGTATCTTATTAAGACTCTTGAAAACGCCTTACTTTGAGTTGTATCTCAGATTAAAAAAAAAAGGTAAAAAATGTTTAATGGAAAATCACCAGAAAACAGATTTTGTTTTTGCATTTGGGGCTTAGTTTTTAACACATCATTTCCTGATTCTGGTAAAATATACTTGAAAATAAGTTTTCCGAGCTAATAAGAAGATCTGATTTATCTTAATATTCCATCCTACTAACGACTTGTTTTCATTGTTTTCTGCTTGTTTTTGCAGCAGCATTTCTTCCAGTGTTGGAAACAAACATGAGGAGTTTATTTCAAAGTGTTGACTCTGAACTTATTGAACTTGATGTTGGAGAACAGTTTAATTCAATGTCAGAAACACAATCGACTCAATCTCTGAGCAAAAAGCTACATTTCATGTTTTCCAGGAAAGCTGAATTATGAGCTGGAACTTTTCTCCTGTTTTTCACAAATCTATTCTCAGTCATGTGAATCATAACTCAGTCTCCCGGAGGCTCAGGCGGGGTTTATATACTGCGTGATCAGGAGCCTGACAGGCAGCTCGGAGTTATGTAAGCGCGCCGATTTAAACCCAAGATATGATCACACCGGGTCCAACAGAGAAGGACTGTGACTCACACGCAGTTAACGTCTCAATCAAAACACCAAGGCATATAACGATTTAAAGGTCACCTATTATGCTCTTCTACATCAACATGTGTCCCCTCTTCTTCATGTCTCTTCTACATCAACATGTGTCCCCTCTTCTTCATGTCTCTTCTACATCAACATGTGTCCCCTCTTCTTCATGTCTCTTCTACATCAACATGTGTCCCCTCTTCTTCATGTCTCTTCTACATCAACATGTGTCCCCTCTTCTTCATGTCTCTTCTACATCAACATGTGTCCCCTCTTCTTCATGTCTCTTCTACATCAACATGTGTCCCCTCTTCTTCATGTCTCTTCTACATCAACATGTGTCCCCTCTTCTTCATGTCTCTTCTACATCAACATGTGTCCCCTCTTCTTCATGTCTCTTCTACATCAACATGTGTCCCCTCTTCTTCATGTCTCTTCTACATCAACATGTGTCCCCTCTTCTTCATGTCTCTTCTACATCAACATGTGTCCCCTCTTCTTTATGTCTCTTCTACATCAGCAAGTGTCCCCTCTTCTTCATGTCTCTTCTACATCAACATGTGTCCCCTCTTCTTCATGTCTCTTCTACATCAACATGTGTCCCCTCTTCTTCATGTCTCTTCTACATCAACATGTGTCCCCTCTTCTTTATGTCTCTTCTACATCAACATGTGTCCCCTNACAGGGTAACATGATTCGGGTCAGTAGCGCGACTCACGTGATAAGCGGTTAACGGAATGAGGGAGGTAAACAAATGATATATAAAAATGGCAAGATGCCAACAACACACGCCGCTATTTATCTCGAGTTTATGGTCCTGTTTCCGTCATAGTTTTTCAATGGACAGAGAGTAAATGGAAAGAAAAACGCTCTTTGTTGTTTGTTTATATCACGGAGTATGTTCTTCTTCTCTGTCTTCCGGTTGTTCCGGTTGTTGCCTCTTTTGAATGATGAATACACACTACCGCCGCCTGCTGGTAAGGACATTTATTGCCACTCACGCATGCGCAGTTCATACGTGCTCGGCTCGGATTTGCGGTGTGTTCCAGTGCGCAAAGTCGGCAAATACGCAGGAGAGTCCGGCGACGCAACAGTCGGTGTCGGCGACTTCTCAGGTGACTGGCTGGTGTATCTGGGCCTTTAAAAGTGAAGCCAATGTGTTAGTTCCTCGAGCCTGCATACTTCTAATGGCCACGGTAAGACTGCACCGGTTAAGAAAAGAGGTGAATTGTTGAAATGTTTGTGTTTAAACTGTTCTATGAGAAAATAAAAAACAAAGTGTGCCTGTGTGTCCACTTTTGTGGCTAGCCTGACCGTGTCAGGGCATCAGCAGTAACGGCCCGTCCACACTATAGCTTCAAAAAAAGCTTGGAGCTGGGCGTGTCTGAAGCTTGGGGATTTTATTCGAGCACCGCGACCAACCGCGACCAACAACCAATCACATGAATGTCCCACCCCCGGCATACAAAGCAAAAAACCCCGGGGATTTTATGCGAGCAATATATATATATATATATAAACTCCCCAAACAGGCGAAAACCTACCAGTTTCACCCACTGTCTCTGCCACCTCCCTCCATGCCTGGTTCCTCCGGTTTGTATCCCAGTAAATAGTTCTGGTCGTAAAGAACCGGGTGATTTGCTACCGTCATTTCTCGTTTGGAATATGAGGAAATGAACTGCGGTCTGGCTCTCCCAGTTTGCACGCGGTTTGATTGGCTAGCGCTTGAACTGTCAGATTTGCATAAACGGGATTTGATTGGCTGACGCTGGCTATTCCGGCGTCTCCGGCTTCAGAAGTTGAACATTGTTCAACTTTTGCAGCCTGAAACGCCAGGAAAGCTCCGCTCTGCTACCCACAATTCAGTTCGGCGAAAAGCGAGGCAACGTGACGTCACCCCATTCAAAGTGAATGGGCAGACGCGTTGGAAACCGTTTTTGAAGCTGTTGAAGCTGTAGTGTGGACGGGCCGTGAGTACCAAACATATGATTGTGTTTTTTACTCAGATGTAGTTGGTTGTTGATGAGGCTCATAGGAAAAATAATGTTTATTACATTTATCAATCCCCTTCAAATACAAATGTGGTTATGACAGGAATTATATTTTATTTTGGATGCTGTACTGCAATAAGAACAGTCCAGCTACTGAGGGCAAGATATTGTGACTATCAGTCATAGTATGTATGTTGTATTGAATGGGGCAAAATCCTAACACAGCATCCTACATTTCCAGTAATGCAACAGGGAATATATCATTAGAGTCCCCCCTAAAAATGCTTCTTCAAAAAGCCATCCATCATACCAAAAGTCATATTTATTCTATAACATTTTGAAATGCTCCCATTAGGTAGTGCATCATCTTTTAGGTTTAATATTAAACTAAGACATTCATTAAAAGTTCCTTTCACCAACTTTATAGAAGAAAAGGTTTGAAATGAGTGAAATGCCCTTTTTTTAAGCTGTCAACTTCTGGTAGCTTGTTTTTTGAGGACTTAAATCCTGTATCCAGACAATTTGGCACATCTCTGCACAGAATACAGTTTAAAATATAATAGAAACACTGCAGTTTGTCATATATTCATTGTACTACGTTTTTTTTTTCTTTTGTATATTTACATTTGGTGTAAAAACATGTCTTAATTCTCTTTTTTAATGCTAAATAGTTAAAGTTGTTCCTTATATGTGTAAACGTACCTGGCAATAAACTGGATTCTGATCTGAATATTATGCTATGCTCAACCCCAACTTTAGCAATTGAACCATTACATTATGATGACAAAGTGACCCATCCACAACAGCACAGGTATTGCTTTATATTTTATTTTATGTACAGTACATGTAAAAAAGAAAACAAAAAAAAAGTAGCCAATAACATTGACCAACGTGGGCAACAGTAGACAGCCATGTTGCTCATCCTGCCGGCCGCTCTCAGGCAAACATATGCTGAGACTCTCCCACTCGTCTTGTGTAAGGCTGCCTGGAAACTAGCCGGGACTTGACAGCACAGTCAAACCGCAGATTATCAAAAATGGGAGGAGTGCATTACATGCTCCCCTAATAAACACACATCTCTCTTTGACAAAGGATGAGCTGCTTTCAGCCTCCATGTGAGCGGAGTGTTCCGGACGAGCAGGAGGGAGACGTCTGGTTGTCCGAGCGTGACTGTGTGCCTTCGCTCTGTGTTTTTTTTTTAATACAGACCGGGCTTTGCTTGACAGCCTCTTGCCTTCGCTGCCCTCCCTCCCCCTATTCCAACAGTGCTGCTTTCAACACAAAGGTCACTAAAGGTCAGCGTTGCAGTCTGCTCTTCTGCCAATGACTGAGTAGTAGGGAGTTCCTCTTCAGCAGTTGAATTCACAGTATTCTTACAGCATGTTTTTCCTTCTTCTCCCACTCATAAAGCTTTAACTGATAATGCATAGGGGGCTTTGACACATGTGTTCACCCATGTTTCTCCAGTGGAAATGTTGTTGTAGTGTGTGTGTGTGTGAGCTGAGAGAGAAAATGCACCCAAAGTCGAGAATACAGTGTACACAACCATCCGTGTCTGGTGTCCCATAAATCGTACAATAAAATAAAACAAAGAATCTCCAAGGCCATGGATAGTCAACCACAAGGCTTCTGAACTCCCCTGCTGCCTATCAGGGCTGTATCTCGCAAATAGTGTCTCAGACAGTGAGCTCACAGCAGGCCACCAAGGTACAGATAAAGTGCTTTTTTTCTTAAACGTGACGCTTTAAATAAAGTGATGTAAAAATGTATCTCAGGAAAATAAAGAGTTGAAAGGGGAAGGGTAGGGGGGGTTTGATAACATGACAGTCCTCAAGTTAAAAATGAAATGGAAGAGAGACAAATCATGTTTCTGGAAAGGAATAGAGTTAATTATAAATACATCCACAAATCCAACTAACGGTGCGAAAGGATGGAACACGGATCGCCAGGAGAGCAGGAACAGTCACCACTTCGCTGTTCACATTGACAGAACGAAGAGGATTTGTGGTAAGACTTTTTAGAGACGTGGTCAAACAGTTCATGTCCAAGTAAAGAGGGGGGGGTTCCTTTGAAGATGAGTTAAACCTCGCCGTGAACACATCGAGGACCGCGGTAATGACAGCAGCAGACTTGGAGGAGAGATTGTAGTAGACTCATAAAAAACCATTACAGATAATAAATACATTTGGGTCCTTGTAGGGTCGGCTCTATTTGAAATATGATGAAATCTAGAAAAAAAGAAAAAGGAGGAATAGTTGAGCATGAGATACCTGGCGTTTTTTTTTTTGCTCCCTTATCCAGTCTCAGCAACAATCCACCTTGGCGGCCATTTTTTCCACCAGCCTTGTGAAACGGTATATAAATTGTAGCCGTGGCAACCGCACGTACTCCCTCCTGGGTCTTGATGACACAGTGGGAGAATTCAGGAAAACCTCGGAGATCTCTCTTCAGTCCTCAGCCTCTACACAGGAGAGAGAGAAGACAGAGCACAGAGTAAAGACAATGAGCAAACAGACCGGTCTTTTATCAAGAGCAGGGATTGAGCAGCAGCAGGACCATGTCATGTTAGTCTAGGGAAGGTTACGGAAGGGAACGTCAGCTATTTTAAAGCGAGCTGAAATCTCTGTGTAGCTGACAGAGCGAGGAAACGCTTCCTTTATGAGCTCTGGAAAAAGTACCAAATAAAGGCTTACAATCTACCAGCATGTCTGAGTCAACAGCAGGTCTGGGAGCAGCCTGTCTGTCTCTCATATCAATCAGAAGACAATATTTAACCTTTGAGTGTGTGTTGCTGCAGGAGAAATGCACGCAGAAACCAGGGGAACAACTCTGCATAGCTACAGAGTGACAACAGCTATTTTTATGCATACGCAGTCAGTTGTGGAAAAAGCATTCAGATTCTTTACTTGAGTAAAAGTACTAATACCTAACTGAGAAATTCCTCAATTTCAAGTAAAAGTACTGCATTAAGTACGATTAGGAGAATGCACTTGAAGTATTAGGAGTAAAAGTACTTATTGCAGAAACATCTCAATATAAAACAAATTATATTTGAAAGCAAAAGCAGCAGAACTTCACATTTAAGAAGCTGGGACTGTGAAATATATTTGAACAGAAGACTTTGCTGCCAATTAATTTTCTGTTAACCCACTCATGGTTTTAGTTACATAAACATAAATAAATATTGGATGGTTTAATCTATACCAAATAATCACACTTTAAACATTTTTCGTTGTCTGTCAACATCTGAATTTGCAAAGTGAATAAAATATGTAAAATAAATGTAGTGGAGTAAAAAGTACAACATTTATTCCAATATGTAGTTGAGTAGAAGTATAAAATGAAAATACTTGGGTTGAATACAAGTACCTTAAATGTGTACTTCAGTACAGAACTTGAGTAAATGCACTTCCACCACTGGATGCAGTGATACTTTGACTGACTTCCATTGGGACAGTTTATTTGTTGGCTCTTAGGCCCTTTCTGTTGACAGTGAGCAGCTCAGCCTGTGCCTGCATTTAAGCTGCTATTAATGTTTTGCTATACTTTCTTCACAGCAACTCCTTCATGGCATTAATACGGCTGGTGCCCTGAGGCTGGAACGGCACAGCTCCATATTTGTTCAATAGCAGGTTGGTGCAGAATCATGTTCACTTAGCTCACACTCCCATGAACATGAACAAATTAGCTGCTTTGAAAGACATTTAAGGAAAGGGCTTGGCAATAGGACCTGAAAACATATTCATCATTTACAGTTATAATACCTTTAGAAGAGTTTAGGGCAACAACAAAAAACTAAAGTAAAATACATTTTTTAAATACAAGGCGACTTTAAAGTAAGAATTTGGATTTTGTTCTCAAAATCCTGACTTAAATACCTTTCTCACATGTGGCCCTGACACCCGTCCGGATTATGAATCTTTGTGCCTCCTGCAGTGTGATAACCCTTTAATGGGGTCTAATTCAATCTGCAGGGTATTTTAGGGTATGGAATGCCATTAGGTTATCAGGGCTCTACTATGCAAACATTTAGAGCAGTGGTCGCCAACCAGTCGATCGTGATCGACCGGGTAGATCGCGGACCGTTAAAAAAAAAATTAACAAAAGAAAGAAAAAGAAAATTAAAATAATAATGTTTGAAAAATACGTTTTTAGATATAAGCCTATCATCCACCACCCCGTTAGCAGGTGCCACTTGATTGACGTACATTTGAGAAACCTCAATAATATAATACATTAACCGTGCATTACGTGAACCTCATCATGACACAAGAGACAATGGCCGGCCTGTAATTTCCCGTGCTCAGTGAACGCAACAGAGGCAAGACACCAGACGAATCAGAGAGTTGCATGGAAATACACGTGTGCTTGTGTCATTCAAGCTCGGCTCTGTGTGTGTGTGGCAATAGCGCATTTAGTGTGAGAGAGATGGGAGAGAGGGGGACCGGTGCTAGCGGGGACCGTGATGTTAGCATCTGGTTAGCTAGCTCCACTAACGGACATAAGGAGCTGTTTCCACAACAAGCTGGAGGAGAGTCCTCTCCTGTCAGACTGAGGGGCTCAGGTGAGCTAAAGGACTCTGAGTGTTTGGAACGGCTTTGTCACAAATTATTCAAAAGATTATTTCCGCGGCACACCTTCATATGATCATTATAGTTATACAAACAATAAGAGAATAAATGAAAAACAGGTATGAAATAGCCTACTATATGGCAGTAAAACAAGAATACAGTTTAAAAAGGAGTGATTTGTAAAATATCCATAAAGAAAAAGAAAATCTGTTTACAGTTCTGTTTCATATGGGTGCTGAGAGAGGTATCCATAGATCTCTTCATGTTGCTCTCAAAGTGCACCAGATTGATGCTTTCAACTTCAATATTTAAAAAAAATCTTCCCAGGGGTCTTCCCGGGGGAGCATCCCCCCGGACCCCCCTAGAGGAGGTGAGGTCCACCCCCCAATAGCACTTTACCCCTGCCTATATGCCGTGAGCTGATTATGGAGCCTTCATTGTAACAGTAATTCAGATGCAATTAGCCTATATAAAAGGCCTCAAATTGGAAGCATTGTCTGGGCCGTCTTTTTCACTCAATTCTGCAATAGGTAGATCTCGCCTTTCACCTAGGCCGAGGTCGGTGATCTTGGGCATAAAAAGGTTGGTGACCACTGGTTTAGAAGATGTTGCGTGATGTTGATGTGTTTGCTCAAAATAAAATAACAAACTTTTGCACATGCAACAACGAAAAATAAGCCTTTACAATATTCAAAAGAAATAGGCAAAACTCAAATAAAACAAACAACTTAGGTATTCTTTCTTTCGGGATAATGCTTATAACTTCACAACTTAAATGGTACTTGTAGGGTTTGTATGTATGTGTACGGTACGAGTACAAGTACGTTACGGTTAAAAACTGTTCCTCAACGGCGTCTCTCAACAGGTTGCCCATCACTGTTGCGTTAGCACAGGCGCCGTGGGAATTGTAGTCCTTTATAGTGCGTTGACTACAGACGTCACAATTAGGTGGCCTTTCTTATCAAATCAAAATACTGGCTCTAACACTGCCTTTCCTCTGCACCCCCGGTGCTGATGGGTAATCACTCCCAAATTAAGGGAACAGAGACGAGGCATTTGTGTCCTGCAGGATTTCCACGTTAATATCAGTGTCTCGAAAACACATGTTGGCGACTGAAAGACATCCAGTGTTTGGTTTTTTCCTGAAGCATCCTTCACCTACAGTGTCTCAACTGAAAGAGGACCACAAACACTGTTTGTGGTCCTCTTTCAGTTGAGACACTGTAGGTGAAGGATGCTTCAGGAAAAAACCAAACACTGGATGTCTTTCAGTCGCCAACATGTGTTTTCGANAGACACTGTAGGTGAAGGATGCTTCAGGAAAAAGACCAAACACTGGATGTCTTTCAGTCGCCAACATGTGTTTTCGAGACACTGATATTAACGTGGAAATCCTGCAGGACACAAATGCCTCGTCTCTGTTCCCTTAATTTGGGAGTGATTACCCATCAGCCCCGGGGGTGCAGAGGAAAGGCAGCGTTACCCCTGTCTGCACGTTGTTTCTCTTTCAGAA